GTTTTTTTGTGTGATTAGTTAATTGTAAATAACACTAAAGAGATTAAATATTATAGATAGCATATATCAGAAAATTCAGTATTTTCGTAGGGGTTAGCCCACATATTTCAAGAAAAATAAGAAAAAATGAAATTTTTGTTTTATTGCATAGCTATATCATGCACTGACATAGTATGAAAATTAAAGAGGTTTAAGACCTTAGATGTTTTCATTTCTCTAGAAAAGAGAGTTTTTTTATAGGGGTTATTCCACTTATTAGGTGCTACATGAAGTTTAAATAAATTACTTAATAAAAATTTAGAAATGATGCCCATCTACCATGAAAATAAGTTTACCATACATATAAATATTTTTTGGTGTGATTAGTTAATTGTAAATAACACTAAAGAGATTAAGTATTATAGATAGCATTTATCAGAAAATTCAGTATTTGCGTAGGGGTTAGCCCACATATTTCAAGAAAAATAAGAAAATATGAAAATTTTATTTTATTGCATAGCTACATCATGCACTGACATAGTATGAATATTAAAGTGGTTTAAGACCTTAGATTTTCCATTTATTTAGAAAATAGAGATTTTATAGGGGTTATTCCACTTATTAGGTGTTATATGAAGTTTAAGTAAACTACTTAATAAAAAATTAGAAATGATGCTCATCTACCATGAAAATAATTTTACCATACATATAAAAAAGGTTTTTTGTGTGATTAGTTATTTGTAAATAACACTAAAGAGATTAAATATTATAGATAGCATATATCAGGAAATTCAGTATTTTCGTAGGGGTTAGCCCACATATTTCAAGAAAAATAAGAAAAAATGAAAAATTTTGCTTTATTGCATAGCTACATCATGCACTGACATAGTATGAATACTAAAGAGGTTTAAGACCTTAGATGTTTTCATTTCTCTAGAAAATAGAGTTTTTATAAGGGTTAGTGTACTTAATAGATGGTATATGAAGTTTAAATAAATTACTTAATAAAAATTAGAAATGATGTCCATCTACCATGAAAATAAGTTTACCATACATATAAATACGTTTTTTTGTGATTAGTTAATTGTAAATGAAACTAAAGAGATTAAATACTACAAATAGCATTTATCAGAAAATTCAGTATTTTCGTAGGGGTTAGCACACATATTTCAAGAAAAATAAGAAAATGTGAAAATTTTGTTTTATTGCATAGATACATCATGCACTGACATAGTATGAATATTAAAGAGGTTTAAGACCTTAGATGTTTCCATTTCTTTAGAAAATAGAGATTTTACAACGATTATTCCACTTATTAGGTGTTATATGAAATTTAAGTAAACTACTTAATAAAAAAATAAGAAATGATGCCCATCTACCATGAAAATAATTTTACCATACATATAAAAAAGGTTTTTTGTGTGATTAGTTATTTGTAAATAACACTAAAGAGATTAAATATTATAGAAAGCATATATCAGGAAATTCAGTATTTTCGTAGGGGTTAGCCCACATATTTCAAGAAAAATAAGAAAAAATGCAAATTTTGTTTTATTGCATAGCTACATCATGCACTGACATAGTATGAATATTAAAGAGGTTTAAGACCTTAGATGTTTCCATTTCTTTAGAAAATAGAGATTTTATAGGGGTTATTCCACTTATTAGGTGCTATATGAAGTTTAAATAAATTACTTAATAAAAAATTAGAAATGATGCCCATCTACTATGAAAATAAGTNATATGAAGTTTAAATAAATTACTTAATAAAAAATTAGAAATGATGCCCATCTACTATGAAAATAAGTTTACCATACATATAAATATGTTTTGGTGTGATTAGTTAATTGTAAATAAAACTAAAGAGATTAAATATTACAAATAGCATTTATCAGAAAATTCAGTATTTTCGTAGGGGTTAGCCCACATATTTCAAGAAATATAAGAAAATATGAAAAATTTGTTTTATTGCATAGCTACATCATGCACTGACATAGTATGAATATTAAAGAGGTTTAAGACCTTAGATATTTCCATTTATTTAGAAAATAGAGATTTTATAGGGGTTATTCCACTTATTAGGTGTTATATGAAGTTTAAGTAAATTACGTAATAAAAAATTAGAAATGATGCCCATCTACCATGAAAATAAGTTTACCATACATATAAAAAGGTTTTTTTGTGTGATTAGTTAATTGTAAATAACACTAAAGAGATTAAATATTATAAATAGTATACATCAGAAAATTCAGTATTTTCGTAAGGGTTAGCCCACATATTTAAAGAAAAATAAGAAAAAACGAAATTTTTGTTTTATTGCATAGATACTTCATTCACTGACATAGTTAGAATATTAAAGAGGTTTAACACCTTAGATGTTTTCATTTCTCTAGAAAAGAAAGTTTTTTTATAGGGGTTAGTCTACTTAATAGATGGTATATGAAGTTTAAATAAATTGATTAATAAAAAATTAGAAATGATGCCCATCTACCATGATAATAAGTTTACCATACATATAAAAAAAGTTTTTTTGTGTGATTAGTTAATTGTAAATAACACTAAAGAGATTAAATATTATAGATAGCATATATCAGAAAATTCAGTATTTTCGTAGGGGTTAAGCCCACATATTTCAAGAAAAATAAGAAAAAATGAAATTTTTGTTTTATTGCATAGCTATATCATGCACTGACATAGTATGAATACTAAAGAGGTTTAAGACCTTAGATGTTTTCATTTCTCTAGAAAATAGAGTTTTTATAAGGGTTAGTCTACTTAATAGATGGTATATGAAGTTTAAATAAATTACTTAATAAAAATTAGAAATGATGTCCATCTACCATGAAAATAAGTTTACCATACATATAAATACGTTTTTTGTGATTAGTTAATTGTAAATGAAACTAAAGAGATTAAATACTACAAATAGCATTTATCAGAAAATTCAGTATTTTCGTAGGGGTTAGCACACATATTTCAAGAAAAATAAGAAAATATGAAAATTTTGTTTTATTGCATAGCTACATCATGCACTGACATAGTATGGATATTAAAGAGGTTTAAGACCTTAGATGTTTCCATTTCTTTAGAAAATAGAGATTTTATAGGGGTTATTCCACTTATTAGGTGTTATATGAAGTTTAAGTAAATTACTTAATAAAAAATTAGAA